AATTCAGCTGAAACAGTAAGGGAGGAGTTGAGGTGGGACAGGGTGGATGACATCATTCTACAGAAGTGAAGCAGCACAATGGAAGGAAGCAAGATTGTGAGTGGGAGGGGTCGCCTGCCCTCAGGTCACAGCAGGAAATACTGACAAAACACCAAAACCTCCAAGTTAACCTTTTCAAGATAAGAGAGATCAAATTACTGTAACCGTTTAGTGAGTGAATTGTTGTTTGATTGTGCAGTTTACTAAAGGAATGCATGTATGAATCCACTAGGTTCTCGCCCAGTGTTTCAGTATCTTTAAAAAAAATGAAATGTCACATGTTGTTGTAGTAAACGCTCTGTTGCTTTCAGGACAACACATTCTTCACAAAAGTCTTGTTAGTGTAAGTGCTTAGCGGCACTCAAAGATGGCAATGCTGCTTTCTATGCATTATTTACAGCAGCTGATAATTGCTGCAATGGGCGATTTTAAAATTCTATCCAATTTTAAAATTTAAAAATGTTTAATTTCTAAAAAATTTAAAATATCAAACTAAAATCAGTCATTTTAAATGCTATAAGTCAATTTAAGCATCACAACAAAAAGGCGTATTCTTTTTGAGATTTGCTGAAGATTACATTTATAACAGTGTAATCAATGTTTTTAAAGTTTAAGTTTAATTGAGCAGTAAATGACAACAAATGTAAACAGAAATGTAAAAATAGAAGAAATGAGCATGCACATATAAATATCCAATATTGGCCAATGCAGATAAAATCTATAATCAAGGCTACACTTTAAAGGGGTCATATGATGCTTCTAAAAAGAACATTATTTTGTCGGCGTTATGCAAATCTTCCCACATAGTGAGGTAAACATGTGGGGGCGTGTTCGAACGAGCCGTTTTAGGTAGGCGTGGTTGACTCTTAACTTTTATAAAGAATATCTCTTTGGATTTGAGACTTTAGTCTTTGCAACTTTACAGATCTTCTTTATGCACCAAGAGCTTGTAACACTCCAAAGAGAAAGGAAAAAATGAAATTGCATCATATGACCCCTTTAAATTGTATTTTTTTTAAGTTTACTTAAATAGAACACATTATTAGAGCATGTTTTTCAGGAAACTTCTTTTTCAGTCTTTCACCTTCAAAATGTAATGTTAAATTCAATGTGTATACTTACTGGTTTTTTTTTTTTATTAGATGTGAAATTAGCTAAAATTAAATCCTAAACCCTTTTTCTTTCAGTCTATGTGGTACCAAAATATTGAGCATCAAGTTTGTTTTACTAAGCTAATATTTCTCCTTCATTTTTAATGTTATGAACTGATTTGTCAATGTTGTGTTCTTACCATAATGAGACCGGTGGTGATAGACTCTGAGCAGCCGTGGCATTGCTCCCCAAATCGTGACCAGTAATCTTTCTTACAGAAGAATTGTCCATCTCTTTCATAGTACCAGTGAGAAAGAACCAAATTACATACACAACACCTAACAGAGAGAGAGAGAGATAGGAAAACTTGTATATTTATGTACTTATTTATTGCATATTTCACAAAACTTAAAAGGGTGTTGCATTAAAGTTTTGTGCTAAATCAGATCACTTGAATAAATGTACTATCAGATCAGATTATTAACTACTGTTAGAGTAAGATTCAGCTGAAGTGACTATAAAATGCTAGAGCCAGGGGCGTTTTCTTTCTTGCTGCATCTGATCAGGATGCCTGTCATGTGTTCCACAGCTGGCGGTTATCTGCTTTTTTCCTTTCATTCAATAAAACACAGCCGTTTCACGGAAACACATGCACATTATACACACAAACACACTCATGTACACACGCACACACACACACGTAAGCACACACACCATGTAGTTTTAAACACTAGCAAACAAAGAGCAGAAAAGCAGAATAACAAGAAAGTGTTGTTTAATTCTATGGTTGACAGGGGTGTAAAGTACAGTATTTTACTTCATAAGTATTATTTTGGAAAATCTGAGCTTTACTTGAGTGTTATTGAAACTTGCACTTTTACTCAGATTACATTTCCTAAAATAATACTTTTTACTCATTACAGCAACATATAGACGTTAGTCCTTTCCAGGACTTCATTAACCGTTTCCCGTATTAAAAAATAACGAAATGGATGGATAACTTAAATGAATAAATAAATATCACCTAACAAAGCAATCCATCTGCACAAATTGTATTTTCTGAATGAAATTGTAACGATTGAGGCGTTGTGACAACGAAGTGGGGATCCAATAGCAGGCTTTAAAGTACAGTATTTTACTTCATAAGTATTATTTTGGAAAATCTGAGCTTTACTTGAGTGTTATTGAAACTTGCACTTTTACTCAGATTACATTTCCTAAAATAATACTTTTTACTCATTACAGCAACATATAGACGTTAGTCCTTTCCAGGACTTCATTAACCGTTTCCCGTATTAAAAAATAACGAAATGGATGGATAACTTAAATGAATAAATAAATATCACCTAACAAAGCAATCCATCTGCACAAATTTTATTTTCTGAATGAAATTGTAACGATTGAGGCGTTGTGACAACGAAGTGGGGATCCAATAGCAGACTTTATTAAAAAGAGCGTAGTCAGGACAGGCAGGGTCAGATACCAGCAAACAGTAACATCCAAGGCACAGACAAAAGAGTAATCCAACAAGACAGGCAATGATCAGGGCAGGCAGCAGTCAATCAAAAACAAGGTAACAGTCCAAGGAACAAAACACGAGAAAGGCAAAACTTAGGAACATGGAAACTAGAAAACACAGAAGGGCTAAACATTCAATCACCAGCCATGACAGAGAGGGTGTGTGCTATTCTTATAGGCCTACTAATGTGAGACAGCTGTGAACTGATGATGAGATCAGATGAGAGACAGGTGATGCACTTGATGAGTCCGGGCAAAGGATTATGGGAAATGGAGTCCTGAGTGAATGGCAAGGTACAGAATGGAGTGCCCTCTAGAGGAGCTCATGGGCACTCCAGCTGGAGATCATGACAGAAATCAATTTCAGTGTAAAATCTGTCAAAGCATAATTTGAGCAGTGTTTTGTCTAGATACTTGAGAATTGAATATGAATACATTAAGATAAGTACAATTTCAGTATACTTTATACGCCTCTAGGCCAGATTAAATATGCTTTTGCACATTTCATCCACTAGTCTGATAATAACTCTATAACAGACAGGATTCAGTACAATCTCATATATCATTCTTTGTATAAATTTGCCTGTTATTGTAATGAACACATCTAAATGCCAATGTAATCATAGTCCTGCATCACTTTGGTAAACCAGATTCTCAGTAGAGAAGTGGGAGTGCACAGAACTGGTGTGAAACAAACAAAGTCTGAATTCTCTTTCTGTGTTTACATAAACACAAACACAATTCTGCTTATGTTGACTATTTCAAAGCGGTCTCAACCCAGCTCACAAGACCACACATTTCTACACTTCTAGAGGAAATAGTAAAGTATAAGTTCGAATTTAACAAAGTTCTAGAATTACGTTATCTCATGACAATCTGAAAGTAGACTGTTGACAAAGAAGTTCCTGTTTTTGTTTTACTAGAAATGTAACGTTACCGCATGTACCACCATCACTAAAAACCACAACTGTGAGCCTTTTTCCAAGAAATGAAGGAAAAGAAAGAAATAAGACATTGAAACTTAAGAGAAAACGTAAACTAGTAAACAAAACAAGTCCAATTTGACTTACCTTGCCTTCCCTCCTCTCCGGCAATACAGGTCCTGACAAGAATTGAGCATAGCAGCAGTAGTAAAGCTCTGCTAGTTTTCTTACTGTCCTCCACTCATTTCAGGGGTGGAGTGAAGTGGGAGGAGAGGACAAAACTGTTACAAACACCCTCAAATAGTTTTTATTTCATATCAGCATATGCTGCTGCTTCCTGCCAAGTGTCTGAAGAGAGACACAGATCCCTCCCACTCCTCCTAACTTTAGCCCACCTTCTTCTGCTTTAGTCTGTAGCAGAAAGAATGCATACTGTCAGAGGATATAGAGTTAACCGACCAGTGTCACTTGCTGATAGCCCTCATGAACTACATGACGGGGCAGAGACGTGCATTTAAATCCAACTCCTTCATGAAGAGAGGGTTTGTTTGTGTAAGTGCATTCATGCAAGAGAAATTATGAAAGGATCTTGCTTTGGTACTGCTCACCACGTATTTGTTTGTGGGTTACTTACATCCAGTCTTTAAACTTTGAAGTAGAGTGGAACTGGAGAAGTAATTTCGATTTTATATTGTAAAGAAGGTTTGCTATCAGAATTATATCTGGCGTAGAGGCTATACTGAAAAAAGTAAAACAATTATAAAAGCCAAAACAAGTAATGAAACATGAAAAATGTAAAAGGTAAAAAAAAAATGTAATACATTTTAAATTATTGTTTTGACCAAAAGAAACGGTCATTAATCAATTGTTAAAATTACAATACAACACGTGGCAACTTGCCCCGACCTGACATTTATGTAAACAAAAAAAAAAAGAATGCAATGTTTCAGTTCAAATCTGCCTTCATTACATGGTAAATAAATAATATATAAATAAAATACAATATTAGAATTTTATTTTGGATGATATACTTAAAAAATAGTTAGGCCTAAATTTAAGATTTATGTATTTGAATTGTAATAAATTAATCATGAATTGATTTTATATAAAAATTTCTGTCCAATTGGATTAGACAGTTAAACCAATAAAAACAAATTAAATTTTATTATATAAAATTATAAAATAATATATTTAATGTATTATATAAAATGTATATATATATAATTTTTTATTATTTTAAAACAGTTTCCTTTAAAAAAAAACACTATTTAGTTTTTACTATTTATTTTTAGAAATGTATGATAGATAAAAGGCCCAAATAAAATCAAAGGTCATACAAAAATGTGTTGTGAGTTTCACAAGTAACAGTGCATAAACGTGAAGAATAAAGGTAAACAATGCGAGAAGATTCACTAGATGAATTGCCTTTATCATACTTTCATGTCACATTTGAATAGTTGCACTTATACAAACACAGATACAACATTCACATCACACAATGCTTAAAAAAACATTAGGTTAAATGCATAGATACCCTTAAAAACCCAACATTTTAATTTAATAAGAGTTACGTTAAAACAAACAAACAAAAACAAGGTTTTACTAGGGTCAGGATACTAGAAAAGAAACCGCTTCAAGTTCCTGAGGTATCGTTGAAGACAGCTTATAATCCTCAGTACTTAGATGCCGTCTACTGCAGTTACGACAAGCACTTTGTTCTTATAAGACTAAAATTGGTAAGCCTAGATCGCGTTCCTTCATGTGACTACGCTTTGAATGACTGAAGATGCTGGAAAAGACAAAATATGGGTTCATGAACTCATATGCATACAGCTAGAAAGAAAAACAGGCTCCCTTTACTTTATGATAGGTGGCCAGAACATGAAGCCTAATGACGCTGCTTCCTCCACTGTCACAGTTCATCCTGAAATAGCAGCGACACGTCCCTAGATTGCACGTGTCTAAATACACAGCTAAGTGTAAGTGAACAACTGCAGCAAAACCATAAGAGATGCACAGCTGGAACTGCAGAATTTTAAGATGGAACATTAAATGGTAACATGGTTGAAAACAAAATCAAGCAATCATGTTAAACTTGTAGAAAACGTATAGTGCCATAAGTAAAGTAAAGGGAGTTTAGGCAGTGCAAAGAGTGCCTTGTGAGTTTCACATCACATCTAATCATACGGCAGAAAAATTATTTAGTGTAAGTCCAAATCTCTCACATATTACACGAGGCACTTTTAAACTGTAAAAAAGTGCATTTGAGATCAGGCAGTAGCACCACTTGTTTATGAGGTCACTTTTATCAGCTGGTTTCTCACTTCCTCCTTCTTCCACAGTATTTGCCTTGGCATCCTGCGCCCCCTACAGGAAAAGACACTGTCACTACCACCACTAATATTTTTATATTTTGTTATATTTTCATGTTTTATAATATTTCAGTTAAAGTTCATTTTATTTCATTTAACAAAATGGTCTTTGGATTTAGTTCACTACAATAACCACAATACATATATAATAAACTACTGTGGTATTTTGGCATTTTAGCTTAAGGGTCAATATAAAACTTGTGTGAGACCCATTTTACATGCACATGGAATAACATGCACTGAAGAGCCATTAATAAGACCAGGAATGTGTATTATGAAAGAAAGTGGTGTCAATTTCATTTTGATTTTAAAGTTGATTCTTTGTGTTCTGTGGTTTGATTTCTTTTGGTTTATTAAATGGGTCATATGATGCGACTACAATAATGTACAGTATTTGAAAAATAATGTGTTTTTTGAACATTAAAGCATGTCAACATATTCTGTTACACCAAATACACAAAATAATGATTTTTAAAAAAGCATCATATGACCCCTTTAAAACAAGAACGTGTGCAACTAAAAGTCATTATTTCAGGTTTCTGTTGTATGGACAATAGAAAAAACTGAGAGAAGTGCATTTATGTCTGCTTACGTACCTCTGTAGCCTCCAGCACCTAGAAAGCCTTGAAGAGCTGCATATTTGGCTGCTTTTGCTATAAAGAATCATACAAGACACGAGCAATAAATACTTGTTATTGGCTGTGGATAATGCACAGGTCTAGACCAAACTCTAATTTTATCATGTGCTGCATTTGAAATATTAGCTAACACTGAGTGTGCTGAAATAGCAGAGCGTCTTACATTGCTGAGGTGTAAGTGGAGCACTTCCAAGTCCCCCTGCACCAGTGCCACCATAACCTACAATACAATATAATATAATCACAACTCTTCATTAATCACTCTGAACCAATTACACTGATCCTTGTAACACACTGGTACAGTAAAACATCATTCAATGTTTATTTACACACCACCAAAATGTTGCTCTAGTAATGTTTTGATCCAGAATGTTTTGTAACGCTAATTTGGATGTCTTTGTCGGCTGTGACTTTTCTCATGATTTGGTTGGATTTTTTGTGAGAAATCCGAAGTATTAAAGTAAACTGACTTCCATTGCATAGTATCTCTTGTGTTAGCACAGACACACACACACACACACACACACACACACACACACACACACACGGATTGCAATATGTCCATTTGTATGCAATCTTGTTGTGTACAGAACAATCATATAAATTCATGTAATTCATTCAGAACTGTAATGGAAAAATACTTTGCTCTTAAATTTGTCCCTCTCTCTTTATTCTCATTTAAATATCTAGAGTAGCCCAAAAGTTCACCCAAAATAAAAATTTCTTAATAAGTTGTCTGTAGTTCATCTTTGAAAATACAAATGAAACACAAAGAGCACAACAGACATGTCCAGTGAATGCTCAAACGTGCTTACTTAATGCACTAGAACCGATGAGGTTTGTTCTTGTGTGTCATGCAAGCACAATCAAGCCTCCACAAGAACCAGTGAGGTTTGACCTAAGCCTCACACCATTTTTGATGTGCTCTATGTATGTGCATTGATCAATGTTTATATGTGAATAAAAGCCTGAAATGAAATCTGTTGATCAAATAAAGTGATCGTTCCTCATCAAAAGAGACTCATATAATCATATGATTTACTTATACGATGTCTATATGTACTTTGTAACGCATGTAGGTTTTGGTCACATGGACTTTCAATGGATGGATGAAAAGAATAAGATCCAATCCAACTCTGTATCCTGAGTATGAGCCCATTTCCCCAACAGGTACAAGAAGAATTGAGGAAGGATATAATAGCTCACCGGGCTGATAGCCTTGACCACCCAGTGCACCCGTGCCAAAGCCTTCAGGACATTGAAACAAAGGCAAGTAAATATAATCCGTCCAAAGTTTACATCCAGTAGTCTCATTTAGTTGGTGAGACAAATGAGAAGAATTTGACAAAAACCATGCACTATTGCCTTATTATAAATAATCTTAAATGGCAATGCAACAAATATAACTTTACCAGTTCCTACTGGGCTTCCAGCACCTCCTCCTAGACCTCCTAGTCCTCCACCTGCTCCTCCAAGACCTCCCACGCCTCCAGCTGCACCATAACCTCCATACCCTACAATAAAAACAATATGTCAACATTATAATCATATGATGGCAAAGATGTCAGTAGTGGTTCAATTTAATGTCACCACAGCAATATCTGATTGCCGAGCATCTGCTAGAGGTATTAACTGAGATGAGCAATTCTGTACAAATTTAGTACTTATACTCCCTTGTGAAAAACACTTGACTTTACTTTGAAAAACAATACTTATTGTGGAAATAACACACTTTAAAAGAATATAGTAAAGTGCAAACTGAATGTAATATTTTCAGACACTTAAATGCATTTAATTTACAATTAAATTAAAATGTATTATATTTTAAATATATATTAAATGCAACTTTAGAGTACTTTTTTGACCCATTTAAGCAGGACTTGAGTACACCTTTATATATAATTTCACTGTATTGTGGAAAGTACTGACAAGTATTCATGGTAAACTACAGTATACTTGAATGTCACACAAATTGTATGTCACATATTTAAATATATTTCTAATTACACATTTGCAATGATGAAGGTGCAATTTAGTTCAAATTAATAACCAAGTACTTTACGTGTGCTATAGCACGTCAGTTAACACCTAGTACTTCTTTGAGATTATTAAAAGATTTATATAAAAAAAAAATTAATAAAACATGATTTAAAATGTAATTTGAACTACATTAATACAAAGTGCACTTTTTAAAAGTGTGTTAAGAAACAATGTCAAGAAAGCAGACTATCTTTAAGTACACCTAAGTGGTCATTTATTTCATTAATATCATATCTCCAAGAACATTTTTTTAATATACTGTTCTTTTAAGATGCGAAGAACACTGCAAGTGCATATTCAATACAATTATCAATTCTCTCTACCATCATCCAAGCCAGACTAGTAGTTTAACGTTACATTCAGGCTCCTAAGCTAATGTAATGATAGTATTAGTAAGTCATAATTATATTGATATTTTAAAACACAAGAACCTGATTTCCCAGGTTTCACAGCTCCAGCTCCCAGGCCACCACCTGGATATCTGGCACCTAAACCTAAAAAAAAAAAACTTTTAATATTAATTATTTATGGCACAGATGTGTAGTTAATGTAATTTAAGATGCACATGGATATTTTAGTATTTAATGCATTGTGGCATTTGCAATAGATCTTGTCGTTTATATACTAATTATCTAATTTTACTTTTATATCATCTATTCTAACCACGTGAACAAATTTCATCAAATTGTATTGCACTACTCTCAAACTTATGTTTAATGTATATTAAAGCACATGATACCTCCACCCAGTCCTCCAACTCCTCCAGGACCTCCACCAACACCTCCTGGTCCTACTCCTAGACCACCACCAAGACCTCCAGGACCTCCACCAATTCCTCCTCTTCCAGCGCCACCCAATGTTCCAGTTCCTCCATAGCCTGATAACGCAATGAAAAAAAAACCCGAAACAAAAATGTGTGATTATAAATTTTGTCTAACCTACAAAGGATAGGTTATTGTAGCATTAAAGTGCTGATTTGATAGGTTTTACATACTTTTAGGTGGTTTTACTGCGCCAGGACCATAACCAAGCCCTTTAAAAAAATTAAATATTAAAATGTAAAAAAGTGTCAGTAGTCTAAATTTCAGAGGTAAAAACGTCATTTCTGTTGTTCCTTTTCTTGTAGTTCTTTGGTCACACTATAAAAAACTGCAATTTCTCTCTGGTATTGTTAACAAGAAATATACACATCAGCTGCTTGGGTGTCCCACATTACCCAATGTTTCAGGTTACCCTAATTAAGCCTTTTTAAAATTGTGGGAGGAATATGAGATGTGTAACACCCAAATAACACTTCAGAAACTTACCACCTATTCCAGGCCCTCCAAGTCCACCAGCACTGCCTGGGCCACCACCATAGTCACCTGGGCCACCACCATAACCACCTGGACCACCTCCAAAGCCACCGGGTCCTGTTCCATATCCGCCTGGGCCTCCAAACCCACCAAGTGTGCCTGCTGCCCCATAAACTTTCATCAAAGTGATAAATTAGTTATTTAACAGTCTTTCCAGTTCAGTGTGTAAAATACAACTAAACTACATTTTCATCATAAGAATTGTGGATTAGCAAAAATGTTTTCTGGTAGCCTACCTTTTCCTTGTTTGCTGCCCACTGCAGCCCCACTGGGGAACCTGAGGCCTGCACAAAATGAAACAACTGAGAATACAATTCTCAGCAAAACAACAACTGTCATAACTGGTACATAAAATATCAGGAATGTGGTGTTTTGTTTTAATCTGAAAAATATTTACCAGTCCCTGGTTGGATCCCACCAGCTCCTAAACCTCCAGCTCCTCCATAACCTACAATAGATTTACAAACCCACAAGCTAAGGCACAAGCTAATTACATTCTTATGTAAATGTTAAGTACACTTTATTCATCTCCACCTCCTGGTAGTAAACCACCACCTCCAGGCAGAAGTCCAGCTCCTCCTGTTCCAGCTGGACCCATTCCACCTACACCTCCAACTCCAAGAGCTCCAGTTCCACCTGTACCGCTGTAAACTAGAAGAAACACATTGATTGTGTTATAAAAATAGAAAAACACAGCTAACAGACATGTTACAGATCAAAATTTTCATGGTAAATCACCTTTAGGGGGTTTAACTCCTCCAATTCCTCCTGTAACTCCACCAACTCCTCCTGGAACTCCACCAACTCCACCTGGAACTCCACCAACTCCACCTGGAACTCCACCAACACCCCCTGGAACTCCACCAACTCCACCTGGAACTCCACCAACTCCCCCTGGAACTCCACCAACTCCACCTGGAACTCCACCAACTCCCCCTGGAACTCCACCAACTCCTCCTGGAACTCCACCAACTCCCCCTGGAACTCCACCAACTCCCCCTGGAACTCCACCAACTCCTCCTAGAACTCCACCAACCCCACCTGGACCACCGCCTACACTTCCAGGTCCTCCTTCAATAGTGCCTGGGGTATCTCCACGTCCAGCAATGGCTCCACCTCCAATGCCTACAGTAAGAAAAATAAAATAAATCTTTTTCCAAATGAAAAAGCACCTGCTTTGCTTGCCCAAATATTTCGAGACAGTAAGAGTACAGTGAATGGCATGAAGTACCTGGGGGCTTTAGTGGTTTGGCTCCTGGTAGTGTTCCACTATCGCCAACTCCTAAGGAAGAACAACTTTATTTTAAGTGATTCCGTCATACTGGGACATACAAGCATTAAAGCCTCTTCAAGCAATGTTAACCATGAATCTTATTTTCATATTAACTGAAAATCAATCAAAAACCACCATTCTAAAAACCTAAAATAGGAACTTTTCAAGGGAACCAATAAAAATGCTAATTCTTTGTATCTGACTGACTAACCTTATAAAAGTTGTCTTTGTGTTTTATACAGATTATGTTGTGAATTTTCACTGCAAAATATACTTGCATTAAAAAAAGTATTCACAAGCTCAATCAATTTCAAAAGAATTAATTTTATTTAAGCTACTACGACCACACCCAGGTAAAACAAAAAGTGCACTTCCATAATGTACTTAAAGTGCTCTATTTTCACGCACTAATTTTGTACTTAATATACTAAAAATGATTATTTAGTACTTCTTAAGATAAACTTTAGATCATCTAAGTGTACTCAACTGTGCTATTTTGGGACACCATGAATATGAAAATGCACTTTTAACATACTATCTCTGTATTTAAAAAATTTATTTAGTTACCATTTGTAGTACACTTGAACCATCTTTCATACAATAGTACACTCAAGTGTACTACAAGTGGTGACTAAATAATTTTTTTAATACAAAGAGAGTATGTTAAAAGCACATTTTAGTTTATATTCATGCTGTCCCAAAATAGCACAGTTGAGTACACTTAGATGATCTAAAGTTTATCTTAAGAAGTACTAAAGAATCATTTTAGTATATTAAGTACAAAATTAGTGCGTGAAAATAGAGCACTTTAAGTACACTATGGAAGTGTACTTTTTTTTCACCTGGGGCATGCAAGAGACTCCTCCACCACTAGAGGGAGCCGTAACATTAGCAGTTTTGAACATGATGTAGGTAGATTATTTCTTGTAAATCGGCTGAAGAACTCCTACCACTACCGATTACTAAAATAAGAAACAGGGAACATAATCTTGAATTCAGTTATCTTATTTGAGGTCAGTATCCATTTTCAGGTTATGAAGACAGATCTTACTCTCGGGTCCAGGCACTCCCGTTCCACCTAAAAAGGGAGAACGTCAATAAGGTAAAAAGGAATTGTCAGACTTAATAAATAATGGTTCATTTACAGTATAGTACAAATAAAAGCTAAATAGAAACCTGGTACAGTTCCAGAGACACCTAAAACATGAAAAAAGGTCATTCATTTAGTAATTTTGTGTTGATGTATCTCTTCAAATCCCATTTTCAATACTTCATAAGCAATTACAAATCATTCTGAACATGCAATGTATTTTGATATGTATTTGTTATTTTTTGTGTTATGTGGTTTTGCTTGGCTGTATTATGGTCTTCATGAATAACCAGCTGTTACATAGTACACTAGTGGCAATAATATTACTTCATTCAACTATAATTATGAATAGCTTCTTTTAAGAATAGTTTTGCCAATACTAGGCCTACTACCACCACTACTACTACTACTAATATTCATAGTAAAAGTTCTGACACAGTTTACTCCAAAATCTGTATGACCGTCTTCCTTCTGTGGACCAAAATGCAAAATTTTTAAAGAATATTCAGGCAAAACATACAAGTATCATAAAAGTGAAGGGTGGAAAAGAAGGTACGAGTGGCAGGACCTGGCACCTTAAAATCCATCAAGTACATCCTCTTTCCCCCATCCTTTCAGTGTTAAAGATAATAAAAGCATGATTTATGGTGCAGTTTAATCTATGCTTCAAACTAGAAACAAAGCTCTATAACCCAAAATAGTATCAATGAATCATGAATAATGCAGTTGAGTAGTGAATTGTGAATAGTGCAGTTGGCCAGAGATTGTGTCTGAACAAACATAATCTGGTGAACTTTTTATGTCTGTAGGCTTGTCTGGGTTTTTGACTATGTCACAGAAGATGCAATGTATGCTTTTTATTCTATTTACAAACTGCAAAGGATGATGTCTACAAGCTCACTGAAAAGGAAGGGTCTACCTGGTTTTTCTCCAGCTAAGATGGGTATTCCTGTCCCAGCAACCCCATCAAGTCCATCAGCATCAATGGACCCACCAGTAACACCTGAAAAAGATTACATGCTGCTCAGTTTCTATCCTTTTAAAAAGTTGGAAATCCAACTTAAAATACCACCTTCAATAGACCCACCTGATCCCTCTATTGGTCCGCCAGATTCTGAAATAATCACAAAATAAAACTGGTGGCTAAAAGGTGAAAATGCCTCTTCATTTTTTCTTACATTGTCAAAAGGACAATTGTTTTATTCTAGTTGATGGGATCAGATGGGAAGTAAAAAAAAAAAAAAAGCAAGAAATGAAAAGTAAACTTTTCTTACCAGTCTTGGGAGCTTTTGTTCCACCTGTGTGTTCAACAAAATGTTAAAATTACAACTCAGGAACAAACAAATTAGCAGCTAAATAACAAATAATAGATACAATAAATATCTATAATAGAGTAAAAGAAAAAAAGGTAATAACCTTGACCTTCTCCAGCACCACGGGTTGCATCATAAGGACTGCCAATCACTAACACGGAACAGGTAAGACTGATAGTTATTATGGTCTACTATTATGGATGTTACATATGTGTATCTTAATGTACATTCCAAATGAACTGCATTACCTCCATCAACTCCAGGTTTAGGTCCTGCTCCACGATCTGTGCCGGTAGCAGCTGTACTTCCTGGAATTGCTGTTCCTCCTATGATGCCTGGTACCCCGGATTTAAATTGAAAATTGGAATAGCAATATTTTACTGGAGATATGGATGGTTAGATGATATAACCATAGATTGCCAACTCACCATATTTGTCTGGCTTGGTTCCTGAAACTGGTGTGCCTCCAGCCCCACCTACACCACCTGTGATGTAACGCTGAGCATGTAAACACATTCCTATTTGTATCTATTACCTGTTATTTAGTCCTCTTTTAGCAGTTATTATCACCAGTTCCAATTCCGGTTCCTGTGGCCCCAGTTCCACCAGTTGCTGGTACCGACCCACCCAACGCACTTCCGACCCCACCAGCTGGTTGTCCTAGATGGAATGCATGGGGTCAAATCTTAGTCTCTATACATGTGATATTTTAATTATAAAAATTAAGTACCAGAAGTGGTTTACCATATTTAGGTGGTTTTTGTGCTCCTCCATACCCTTTAGAATAAAATGAACAAAACAGCAGGTTCACCCACCAATGCTTAGATGACATACTTCAATTTTAGTAATTAGTATTTCACATCTAATGAAAGTTTTTAAAACTTTACCTCCATATCCAACACCGGTCCCAAGCCCTCCAGGCAGAACTAAAAAAGACAAGTATGTATGTATTTATTTATTTATTTGTTTGAATTGTATGGACAAAAAAAAAAATATATATATACTGAGACATTTCTCAAATTGATTTATGTTCCACTGAAGAAAGAATGTCATGTAGTTTTGGAACAAGTTAATATAAGTAAGTACAGATTTTTTTTGATGGAGTGTCCCTATAACCAAAAAACCCCCCCAAAAAAACAGTTGCATGTCAAATTAATTCACATACCGCCAGGACCTCCTACCAATCCTGTTCCAGCTCCTGGTACACCTCCTGCTCCCAAGACACCTCCAGATCCAGGTAAACCTTTCAAGATATGCATGGGTTTAGACTCTGTTAATGTTGTATCATTTCAAGTCAAGCATTTTATATTTACCCTTGATAAATATTAGTAATGTGCATTAAACATAAATATGTGTTTGAAAAAATACATAAATTAATATTAAATTATGTTTCATCATTATAGTCATAAAATATGTGGTAACATTTTTGACAAATTGAATATACTGTACATTAATCAATGATCAAGAGCCACTTGCAATATACATGCAAGTGCATGTAGTGTGTTTCAACTTGCCATATTTAGCTGCTTTCGATCCAGGTCCATATCCTATAAGACATCACATGTAATTAATTGAAAGATAAGTTGACCAGGTACAGTTTTAATAATACGGATTTTCTAATTCCTGTGTAAATGACTTTGACTGGTTTAAATTACCTCCAGCACCTGTTCCATACCCAGGCCCAAGCCCTCCTCTGCTTCCTGCTCCGACAGCACTAACAGGAAGTCCTGCTCCTGTAAATCCAGACCCGTGGCCTCCTACAGTCCCTGGACCATAACCACCAACTGGCCATGCCCCCGTGCCAAATCCTCCTGCTGGACCGGTTCCTACCTGACCCTGTAGACCAAGTCCTGTAGCTCCTCCACTACCACCAGGACCTACACCAGGATTAAAATAATTTAACAAATGTTAATGGCATATTGTACAAAAAAAAAAACATGATGCTATAATGACTTTAAAATATCCTACCATATTTTAGGGCCTTTGGTCCACCTGGATATGCTGCATTGGATACAAAGTATTAATGCAGATATGGAAACAAACAGAAAGCATAAACTGCATATATGTAATAAAATGTTTGTCAGCATACCTCCAGCAGGTACTCCTCCTGGCCCATAACCACCTACAGGTGCCCCTCCAGGTCCGTAGCCACTGATTGGTGCTCCTCCTGGTCCATAACCACCAAATGGTGCCCCCCCAGGTCCAATTCCTCCAGCAGCTCCAACACCTGACACTGTTCCACTACCAAGTGACCCTCCTAATCCTCCAGGCAATCCTGTTCCACCAGCTCCACCAGTAATCCCTTTTTGCAAAATGCAAAAATAAAATGTCATTTATAATTTGTATTTTTCTACATGGATAATACAATTTGGAGATTATTTAACTTTGCCATACCATATTTGCGAGCTTTGGCCCCAGCGTATCCTAAAATATAAGAAGTCAATATTATAGAAATATGATTTAGCAGTGGTTAAATCTATGTACAGTTCTTGTTATGAAACTTGAAATGTCATATTTCTATAAAGTGTTCAAATATGAGCACAGCGAGATTTTTATGGCTTGTGCTTCTATGGAAACCTCAAATGATCCAATCTTTACCTCTCTTCACCTGCTGATAAAAATACTCTAATCTAACAACTTCAAGAAGTCTCCTCAAAAAACCTTGGCCAGGCCAGTGTTACGAGGCATAACTGCACAATGGTGAGCTACAGAGAAAGAAAAGCAGAGTATCGAAATACTACTTATGCTTAAAATCAACATCTGGTAGATAATCAACACTGTGCTCTAACCACACTAAGCCTACATTACAGTGTGCTTGAATGATACAGTTATCCACTTGGATAACACTGATGAGACATTAGAATGTGCTCAAGAATGCAATGGCTAAATTTAGTCAACCAAAAGAAAGGTCATCTGGGGATATACTTGGCTGGACATGCTACTTAGGTTTCCAGATTGGCCAGGGTTTAATTAAACTCTAAAAAAGGTTGAAGCTATCATTTTCTTATGATATTGCATTACTATGGTTGGTGAGTTATTAGTGATGCTTTGTGCCTGTCTGTCCCTGAATTTGTGCAAAAAGAATTATGTATCTTGTACATTATTTCTAAACTGTCTGGAAGAAACTCAATATGTAGTTGCACAGAGAAGATCTTAGCTATAAAAAAGAGTTGTGCCACATCCATTCACACATCTCTACAGTGAACAGTCAGGGCAAAGTATATCAACCCAGGTGAAAAAACAAGACTTCCATAATGTACTTAAAGTGCTCTATTTTCACGCACTAATTGAGTACACTTAGATGATCTAAAGTTTATCTTAAGAAATACTAAATAATCGTTTTTAGTATATTAAGTACAAAATTAGTGCGCGAAAATAGAGCACTTAAGTACATTATGGAAGTGCACTTTTTTTCACCTGGGAATACTTTGGTGTCTCTGTGGTGGCTTGCACTTAAGAATATGAAGAATATTATGTAAAACATTGTTGAGGGCAAATATAGCAATGAGTATGGGCTATCAAGTGGGCCTTGTAGTCAAGTCTGGTGGTTAGGAACCCTGCTTCCCTTTCTCCTTCTCTTCTTTAAAGGGGTCATATGATGCGATTAAAATTTGTCCTTTCTCTTTGGAGTGTTACAAGCTCTTGGTGCTAGCCCGCCGGCCTCCGCTCACTCAAGCCCGCCGTGTGTGACTCTGTGTGTTTCGTTGTGAAAGCGAAACTACTTTGTTTGGTCTTCCAAAAGAGGACACGACTAGAAATTAGTGGTTATGTTGTATTTACAACACTGTTCCAGAAAAGTTCAACCCAAATATTCGGATGTGTGCAGTGCATTTTAAGGAGGACTGTTTCCTGATCCTGGAAGAGTAGACTACAATGCCGGCTGTTCTGCCTCACAGACTGTAAGTACGTTTTCATTTAAAGGATTTGCCACTGATGATTCAAACGCGAGTTTTGAGCAGTGTAGAGTAGCGCTTGTTGTTTGTCATTTCTCCGATCACAAATGCAGACATGGTTTTATGTTAACGCAATGTGTAAAAAGACTGTCTAAGTCATTATAATCCGTAATTATGTCCCCATTGGATGCAACAAATGCCTCGTTTATAATGGGTTTTAACGTTTTTGTCTCGTCGCTCCGGCCGGGACATGGCATCACAGTATGGTAAGGGGCGTAACATTTCCGTCACACGCTTGAGGTATTCGGCCAATCACAACGCACTGCATAGCTGGCCAATCAGAGCACACCTCGCTTTTCAGAACGATGAGCTTTGTAAAAATCGACGCTTTTCTGAAAGGCGGGGCATAGAGGAGAAACAATAATGTACAGTATGTGGAAAATAATGTGTTTTTTTAACCTTAAACCGCATAAACACATTTCATTACACCAAATACACAAAATAATGTACTTTTTAGCAACATCATATGACCCCTTTAAAAATATACAACAGTACATGAGAGTAAACTACACTCTAAGAAAAGTCTGAAAAAATAGGGCACAAGTCAAGTCACCTTTATTTTATAGTGCTTTATATAATTGTTTCAAAGCAGCTTTACAGTATTAAACAGGAAAGTAGCAGAATCAATGATGCAAACGTCAAAGTTAGGCAAATCAAAATTCTGCTGTAAAGCAGCTGTAGCAAGACAATTATTCAGCAATATTATTGTTATTATTCAGTGCCAGTCAGTATTTATTTATTATTATACAGCGCCAGTCAGTTCAGTGTTGAAACAAGTTAATTTCAGCTATAAGCATCTCTACTGAAGACAGTGGTATCGTTATTCAGTTCGAGTCAGGTCAACGTTTATTCAGTTTGGTTCAATAACCAATGTCAATTCAACCAACCAGTGTAAATGTTGCCATATTCATTCATTTTGAATAAATTTGATTTAGATATTTAGCAGAAGACAACAGTGTCATTGTTTTTTAGCCCAGTGTTTGAAATCTTTAGAAACTCTAGGAGATTTACCTCCAGGTCCAAATGCACTTCCAGGAACACTACCAGGTCCAAGCCCACCACCGGGTACACCTCCTTGTCCAGCCCCAGTTCCTAGTATAATCCCTGCCCCACCTGGTCTGACACCAGTGCCTGGTAATCCACCTGGAATACCTGCAGCTAATCCAGTGCCTGGGCCTAAACCAGCACCTCCACCGAGTAGACCTAGAAAAAAAAATAATAATATTTAAGGTTGTAAGGTAAGTAAAGTTTGGATAATAAATGCTATCAATAAAACCAACACAATTCATTTAACAGTGCAGTATGTTGAAGCATTGAATTAAAGGCTGTTTTACCATATTTACGAGCTTTTGCCTCTGCATATCCTGCAAAGCATCAGAATATTTAATATTAAATATGACCTCATATCTTTATTGTAAACTTTATGTTGTACAATATGATGGTATGATTTAGGTACCATTTCCAGAGCCGGGGAGTCCTCCAGCACCACCGCTAGGAAGACCACCAACTCCAAAAGGCAGTCCACCAGCTCCTCCGCCAGGTAATCCACCAAATCCACCTCCAGGTAGCCCTCCAAATCCACCTCCAGGTTGTCCACCAATCCCAAGACCACCACCAGGTAGTCCACCAAGTCCAACACCCGACACACCGGCTGCTCCACCTGGCAATCCTCCTGTACCTAAAGTCCCACCAGGACGTCCAAGCTGAGCTACAAAGGATTTATCAGTGAATATCAATGTCTTACATTTCTTTAGTTTCTGTGACTGGTAGAATTTCACAAATGATATATGCAATAAAATAATCAAATCTAAGCACAGTAATGTATTATTATATTATATGATATGATATGATATTATATTATATTATATTATATGATATTATATTAATTATATTATATTATATTATATTATATTATATTATTATATTATTAGGATTGGATTTGGCCTGTGGGACACTAGGAGCCCTGATGTTAGGTATACAATATATACTAAATCATTAAGAAACATGTTAAAATAATTTTCCTTTTTCACAATAAAAAGAACCAAACAATAGAGCCAAAAATTAAGTCTGGAGTTTTGATGAAACTCAGTCTTATTTTTTAGGATGGAAATATAAATAAAAACCCTGTTCAGACACACCTTCCTGCAATTTTTAAGTAATTCTCAGCACCTTGTGTGTTTGATTAGGGTCGGAGCTAAGGTACTGTAACTCTCCAGGAGCAGGGTTGGCTATCCCTGTGCTAGAGCTAAATTGTATATTTATGGACAATTTATGGAAATTGAAAACAATTACAATGTTGATTTGCCAATAACAAGATCTACAGTATTTCATTGTAAAATGCAAAATGTAAAGTCATACCATATTTTCTTGCTTTGGCTGCAGCATATCCTAAAATATGGCAGAATAGTAGATATCATTGTGCTGTTAATGATAATAACTTTGAAAACAAAACAAGGTCATTTTCAGGATACCTTCAGGACCAACTCCAGGTCGAGGGATTCCACCAGTGCCAAGACCACCAACTCCCAAACCAGAACCAGGAAGTCCTCCAGCTCCAAGGCCACCCACGCCCAAACCAGAACCAGGAAGTCCTCCAGCTCCAAGACCACCCACTCCCAAACCAGAACCAGGAAGTCCTCCAGTTCCAAGACCACCCACGCCCAAACCAGAACCAGGAAGTCCTCCAGTTCCAAGACCACCCACTCCCAAACCAGAACCAGGTAGTCCTCCAGCTCCAAGACCACCCACTCCCAAACCAGAACCAGGAAGTCCACCAGTTCCTATGCCGAAAGCTAGAAAATAAACAACCCAAAATTGCATAGAAATTAAGATGAAACTCTGTTTTTATATATGTTTTTATATATGTTGCATGATAAACATCAATCCAGAAAAAAAGTATTTTTCATGTTTAATTGGGCTTTTTCTACTTTAACTTATTTTTACAAGGCTATATTTAAGATTTGGATTCCCCCTGATATCTACTGTCATTTTTTCCATGAAAGAGACAGTTGTCAGCCAGGTGATTATATATATAAAATGAATCTAGAAGCTTTCTTACCATACTTTCGAGCTTTTGCCCCAGTTCCTAATGAGAGACAATCCGTGGATATTATAAGACTTAAGCAAATTTCAATGTCTTAGATAATCCTGAAACATTTCTCTATTTGTAATAAATCATAAATTTACCCCCAGGATAGGAACCACCAGCTCCCGGATATAGGACACCTGGAGTTCCACCGCTAGCTCCAGGAATGACTCCGACACCTGGAACACCAGCTGCACCTGTAACACCGCCTATTCCTGGCACACCACCTGCACCAGGTATGCCACTTATGCCTGGAACAACACCTGCACCAGGTATACCTCCAAGCCCACCACCGAGACCCGGAACACCACCAGCCCCTGCAAGGAGAGTCAGCAATATCAAGCATGTCGTTTAGACATATATTGAAATTATTGTTCCTAAGAAAGTCATGGATTATTTCATTTTGAAGGCTCAGGAAACCTTTGCAGGTGTTTTGAGTTGATTAGCTGATTGGCATGTCACCATATTCTAATTTGTTGAGATAGTGAATTGGTGGGTTTTTGTTAAATGTGAGCCAAAATCATCACAATTAAAAGAACCAAAGACTTAAACTACTTCAGTCTGTGTGCACTGAATTTATTTAATACACGAGTTTCACAATTTGAGTTGAATTACTGAAATAAATGAACTTTTCCACGACATTCTAATTTATTGAGATGCACCTGTATATTGAAATTCTTGTTCCTAAGGAAGTCTTAATTTTTTCCCTGCATGACTTACCGTACTTGGCAGCTTTAGCCTGAGACTTAGCAGCGCTTGTACCTTACATGGAGTAAGAAAGTACATTTCCATAAATACTCTAAAACTCTGTAATCATATGTCAGATAACTTGATTTTAAATAATGAGAAGCTAATGTAATTGGCTGACAAGTATAATTTGTGTTGGTTGATCTCAAATGTAAATAACTACAATGGATAAAGGGATAGATTTTTAAATGCATGCTACCTCCAGACTTTGGTGATATAAGAGGATATCCACGGAACACGCCTGGTATTTGTTGACCAAATCCTCCACGGCCTCCTGAAAGAGAAAAGATAAGTGAGTTCTGTTAGAAGTAGTTTTCATAACTTTTATTGAAAGGACTGTTCTTTCAGTTACTTATTTTACCATTAGCTCCAAGTGCACCTTGACCAAGCTGCCCTATAAACAACAAAATAGCAGAGAGAGTCCCAGAAAATATTTTAATTGCTGGATAAAGCTATCAATTATAAAACTATAAACCACATAAATCTTACCAGTTTGAGATCCTGTGGCTACACCTGGCAGAATGCCTCTACCGCCAAAACCTACATATAAAAACAAAAATGTAAATGTCATATCTGTATGAATATTCAGTTACACTTTATTTTTAGGTGTCCTTGTTAGAGTGTAATTATACATATAAGTACTGAGTAATATTAATTAACTTCATGTACTTACTATATGGTTAGGGTTAGGATTATGGTTTGGCTTAGGGTTACTTGCATGTAATCGTGCATAATTAATTGTTATTATAATAGTAAGTAAATGTAACGTGTAACAAGGACACCTTAAAATAAAGTGTTACCAAATATTCTAGAAACAGTGGAAAATCTCATAACTGTCAAATATTTCAGTCACCCACCTTGTCCAGGAACTATACCCCCTTGGTATAGCCCAGGAATCCCAACACCTTGTTTGTTTGGAGAACGAAAAAATAAAAAAATTCTTTCTGGTCAAAGATTTGATAAAAAATATTTCTACAAAAGGGGAGCTCCATTAATAGACACAGTTACCTGGCACTGGTGCCTTCCCAAACTTTCCGACTTTTCCCCCAGCGCCTGTCCCAGTTCCAGTTCCTGCTAAGCCAGTTTGAGGGAGAAAAGGTGCTAGGAGCCAAAATGGATTGAAAAGTTGCAAAGGTTAAAAGTTGCAAGTAACTGCAAACAGCAGTAGCTTAACAATTATGTCCCTCAAAACCTACCTCCACCAGGTGCAACTCCTGCTCCTCCAATTCCAGTTCCAGTGCCACCAGGTCCAATTCCTACACCTCCAGGCCCAAATCCAGCTCCACCTGGACCAATTCCTGCACCACCTGGTCCAATTCCTGTGCCACCTGGTCCAATTCCTACACCTCCAGGCAGAACTCCCGCACCCCCAGGTCTAAGTCCTGTGCCGCCTGGACCAATTCCTACACCTCCAGGTCCAATTCCTATTTCATCAAATCCAGCATGTGTTGATACAATTTAAATATGTTTTTTGAAAAAGTGTAAAGTTTCACACCTTCATTTAAGTCAATACTCATGTCCATATATCTAGCTTTACCTGGTTTTGGTGGTTTCTGACCAGTTGTTCCAGCTCCAAGATAAGTACCATATCCACTATAGCTACCTAAAAACAAATTCCATTTTTAAAGCAGCAGATAATATTCCTTTATAATTTAACCCCCTCAAAATTCACTTTTAACTAGTCATCTTTAAATGTATTCCTTTTTATTGTTTATTATGTTATTTCATGGCTACAACACATAAGGAAAGGAAGTATATTCTTACCACCTGATGGATAGCCTGTTCCAGCATCTCCAGGTGTAAGTGGAATAGCACCTGCTCCAAGACTTCCTGTTCCAAACGGTCCAAAACCCCCAGGCCCACCATAACCTAAATTTACACCATCTGAGGTAAATGCATTTTAAACCACTGACAATATGCTGCTTTCTGACTGCAATAGCTATAAAAATTAATAAGAAATAGTGATGTTCACAACAAAAAACAATGGATTTTAATTGTGCGTGCACTTTTTTTTATTGTGGTTGCAGAACACTTTTAAATTCAGATCATACCTGGTTTCCCAGGTTTTCTGCCTGCTCCTATGATAAGGCAAAATTGTTTTGTTTATTTTTATCAAATAGTGCTATGAACAGAATCACAAAGGCAGTAATAAAAACTCTTGTTGTGTCTACTGTTGATTAAAAAGATGTCTTACCAGGACTCAAGACACCTGGTCCAACACCACCAGGGACAATGCCACCTGGCCTGAAGCCACCTGGTCCAACACCACCAGGGACAATACCACCTGGTCCAACACCACCAGGGATAATGCCACCAGGCCTGAAGCCACCTGGTCCAACACCACCAGGGACAATACCACCTGGTCCAACACCACCAGGGATAATGCCACCAGGCCTGAAGCCACCTGGTCCAACACCACCAGGGACAATACCACCTGGTCCAACACCACCAGGGATAATGCCACCAGGCCTGAAGCCACCTGGTCCAACACCACCAGGGACAATACCACCTGGTCCAACACCACCAGGGACAATGCCACCTGGTCCAACGCCACCAGGGACAATGCCACCTGGTCCAATGCCACCAGGGACAATGGCACCAGGTCCTATACCTCCAGTGCTGACACCTCCTGGGCCATAACCACCAAGACCTCCATAACCTGAAAATAATGTGTATATATTTAAATATTTAGAGTGAAGCTACCTTTAAATTCCTCAGTGAAGATGAAACACTGCATCTTACAGATTGCCCACCTGTTTTGGGTGGTTTTCCTCCCACACCTAGAAGCAGGAAAGGGAAAAAATAACGGTACTAAACAAAACTTAAAATATTTAGAATTAAGCTTTTAAATATCCATATATAGTTACTAGCATTTGTTTTAATTTTCTAACCTCTTCCAGCACCTACTGGACCAGCTCCACCAGGGCCAAACCCTCCCACACCAGTGCCCACACCTAACAAAAAATTATAGAATTCTCTGTTGTAAGAAACATCACCATAAAAGATTGCTTAACTTTCAAACAACAGAGTTTCTCTACCAGTTTCTCTACCTTGTCCAGGTATTCCTGTGCCAGTGCCACTAGCTCCAGGACCAACACCAAAGCCACCCGGTACTACACCTCCAAGGCCAGCACCCCCTGGCCTAAGTCCAAGGCCACCAAGACCTCCAGTTCCATAAGTGCCTAGAATACTCCCATAACCTGTTTGTATGAAGCAAGACTCATGCAAGTATTAATCAAACCAATACATTATTTGCTTAATTTAATGCATGTAGTTGAAATTGTAAATGTATGTGAACACTTTATTGACTGCAGTTTTCTCCCACTCACCTGGTTTAGGGGGTTTGCCACCAGCACCTACAGACAGAATAAAGTAAGATGAAATAAAAAAATGCTTGAGATCAATCTCAAGTCTAACCATTTAAATATCCACCACCCTACCAACAAATATGAATTTGCAGTGTTTATTTGGCTCAGCTTCACTGAGGTATTTTACAATCCCTAGCAGAGACTAGCAGAACCTTATATGAAACAGTTCAGTTAAGTTTGATTGCTTATTAGTAAAATTACATTCTGAGAAATATTACCTGCTCCAAGGCTCCAAGTTCCAACACCAGCACCAATTCCTCCAGGTCCGACACTTCCTGGTCCAGTTCCTATGGTACCAGGTCCAATGCCACCAGGTCCTATGCCACCAGGTCCTATTCCTCCTGGTCCAATGCCTCCTGGACCAATGCCAGAAGGACCAAATCCTCCAGGTGCAAGTGATCCAGGACCAACACCTGTACCACCTGGTCCAAATCCTGGTAGACCTCCATATCCTCCTGTGTTTACACAATGAATTTCTCATCTGATAAAGGCAATGTCTCTGCCAATCTTTATTATTAAAATTAATCCCAACTTTTAGCATGCGTTACATCACACCTGTTTTAGGTGGCTTGACGAATGACCCTGTGGAAAAGATCAAATTCATTAAATCATTTTTGTGCCTCAATAGCATGCCCCTAAATAGTTAAATATGTTAATTACAAAATGATAATTATGTTAATTACCGTTTATGGTACATTTCCGTACCATAATATGTAAAGGAAATTTCATTAACCTGTCCCGAGGCCTCCGGTGCCTAATCCACCAGTACCAAGTCCTCCTGTACCAAGCCCTGTACCACCAGGCCCAACTCCCCCAAGCCCTGCACCCAGTCCAGCACCTTGCCCCCCAGCACCACCACCTCCCAAGCCTATTACAAGTTAGACAAGTAAATATTAATTTAATCAAACTTAAAATGACTAATTAGGAGAAATTTAGCCACTCACGTCCTGTCTTTCCTGGTTTGAAACCAAGTATTCCTCCAACTCCTGGTAAGTAAATAAGTTAACAAATAAAATTATTGTATTAGATACATAATACAATACAATACATAATACAATATTCTTTATTAGTTGCTAATTTATTAAAGTTTATTTTAGCACTGATATGGAAGCTATGGACATTAATTGCACATGAAATGTTTAAGAATAAATGTAAATTATCACCAGTTCCAGGTCTGATTCCAGTTCCTGGCCCTATTCCAAGACCACCTGGACCTAATCCTGTTCCAACTCCTCCAGGACCAACTCCTGGCCCAACACTTCCGATTCCAGCACCAAATCCTCCTCCGGGGCCTGTTCCAGCACCAAGTCCAGCTCCAGTTCCAAGACCACCCCCTAATCCAGCTCCAGTTCCTCCCCCTGCACCAGCTGGTATGTAGATTCCTGAGAGAGAAAGTGAAAATTAATAAATTCCTTTATTAATGTGTCCTGTTCATGATAGCATGCCAGATAAAGAAATAACCAAGCATTTAGTTGTGTGTTCTTGTATGTATTTGAGAAACCTGAAGAGGAGAATAAAGAGAATATTTTCTAAAACATTATTATATTGAACATAGAGTAGATATTACCAAATTTCTGTGAACATCACCGTTTGCACTGCAAACCCATACTTCTTTTATTAGACAACGATGCATATTAGGATCTAACTACTGCAACACATTACCAGTTTATGAGAACCATTCTTGTCCTTTACTCAGTGATGATGCCACTTACCCAGGGGGTTCTAACTAATCTTGCATCTAGTCTTTCATGTGAAGCCTCAAACAGCACCGAATGCATTACCACATGAGTTTCTGTGTCCTCCTGCCTTGCTGTTTAAGGTTTGGAGGCATAGGGGAACAGAGAATGGATGTGATTCAGACGAAGAACAACATCCTATACATGACCTCTTCCAAGAGCTTAGAACTAAAAAGCTGAAGTCATCAGTTCTACAAACCCACTGGGAAATGCTTGTAGGTTGTTAGTATATGATGTAATGATCTGGATTAGTATTTCTCAGATCATTCCTTCTACACGAATAAAAGATGGCAAGTGGAAACCATTTCCATAGACATAAACAGTGACTTCAAATCTTTCAAAAAAAAAGTAATTTATTTGAATCAAAATCCATCTGGTTTTATGGAGTACTAATTGTGATTGTATCAAATTAAACTTAAAAATACATTGAAAACTTTAACCAAATGCAAATGCATCATGTTTCACTGATATGTTACATACTTCACTGATATTTAGTTTTATTCAATAATAAAAAAGAAATAGAAAATCAAAGTAATAGAAAATGCTATCTCAGCTCATTTTAAATGGACAGCTTGTAACTTTACTAAACTACAAGTTGGCAATGTTTCCTCACCATCATAAATTTTTAAGTATTAAGATTTAAAGATCATGCAGGAACGAGACCCGAGTCAAATTTCATTGACACAGTAAATCATCCTGCAACAATACACTATAGCAATACACTCAATACAGCACTTTTAATTCAAGTTGCATACTTTTTATAATCAATCCTTTACCTGAACCTAGAACATTCAGAACACAGACAACAAAGTACAGCCTAAGTGCATCCACTGTCAGCAGTGTGCAGCTAAATTTAAAAGAATGTGATGCTATTGCCAAAACTGCAATACACCTGTAATGCAATGAGATAGAAAAAGCCAAATAAGTTTGGAGAGACCTTACCTCCTTGAAGTGAGGGTTTACACAGAACCAGCAGGAGAAATCCATGCAAGAGCAGAGGTACCTTACTCCAGGCCATCCTGCTTTGTAATATCCCTCTCCACTCCCAAACTGTGGGTTTTATCCCCCAAAAGCAAATCACTGCACACCCATGTCTTGAACAAGAAGAATAAGGGGTGGGGGGCCAGTATGAAAGAGAGAAAAAAAGAAAGTAAGGATGGAGGAACACTACGTAATTAGGGAAACTAGCACACTTGGGTCTTGTACATTATGTTTTTTTTTTCTGTTTTTGCTAACCCCACCCCTAGCCCCCCTAAATGACTGGTGCTAGTGCATTTATTTGGGTCACCTCTGCCAACATGAGTCAAAGCATTGGCCAAAAAATAAAGACAGATATTTGAGGATAGGGGGAGAGAGAAAATCTCTCTCACTCTCTTAACATCTACCTCACCAAGAGAAACATCTGCCAGATATTCTCATGGAGAGTATTTCTTTTTTATCCAATCAAAAGCAGTAAGAAATCACTCCAGATAAGGTTATTACATGATATATTGTTTCCAGCTATGGGGGTGTAAGTAACATTTAAGGACCGGACCCATCATTCAATCATTCAAGAAGGAAGACTGCTCACCTCCGAGGTTTAAAGTCATTTGGCCAGGCTCCAGGGATCACTCTATTGTTATTAACTTATGAGTCCCAGAGGAACACATGAAATCATGTATGTGATGGAAAAACACTGAATGGGTGTGTGTTGGAACACATTATTGAAGGTTGACAACACAGATTTTAATAACCCCTGTAGCCCCAAAGCCTTTAGATCCAACTGGGATGTTGACGGCTAAATCATGAAGACTTTTGAAATAATGGTGCATCCTTAACGGTTCAGTGTGACCTCTGAGAATGGAGGCTTACAATAGGGACCAATACATAAATGGCCTTTTCATAATTAAGTTGTTTCTCTCCTTAATGGGCAATAAATTGTAATGTACTACAAACTTCAAATAGTCTTTTAGGCTGAATGACGTCCAGAAGATCTGACAATAAGAGTATGAGTCACACATTACGCTAAAGCTGCTGTAAGCATCATTCACTAGCTTAAAATTTTCCTCTATCTTGACAGTCATTTGTTATATTTGATATAATTTTTTCCATGTTTTATGAAATTGTTTCTTCTCCAATGGTGCCACTCCATATGGTCACTTACACTCACTTACTTACATCTACGCAACTGCCTTTTAGATGGTTGGATTCTTGCTTATACATAAATTCTGGCAGTTTGTGTCAAAATGTTGTAAAGAAACCAAGGGGGTTTTCTGGAAAGGCACCATATCCCCCTCCCCACCCCTTGCTGAGTTTTAAACCCAGATTGTCTAGCACTCCTTGTTTGGTCTGGAGGAGTTTTGCCAAAAAGTCTGCGTTCAAGCACTAGTTGTGTTTCAGGCTATTGGCAAAGAATAAGATTAGGTCATTCCTCTACTGATAGACACTTTTTTTATTTCAATGTAAAACCATGTACATGTGTATTCCTTTTTGTGTTTGTGTGTGTGTTTGGAGGTTGAGAGGGGAACTGTTGGCAAGAAGCATATCTCACTAATTAAGAATAAAGAATGAATGGATGGTCTTTACTTTCCAAGCCACAAAAGTAAACAACATCAAGATCCATAACATAAGAAAGCATCGACAACTAATCATTTAAAGGCACCTGCTAGTTGTAAAAAGATATAATAATGAGTCTGTCTCTGTAAATTTGCATCATTATATGTAGGACCAGATTTTTACTCTTTCTGAAAAAGTAAGTGGTGTTTTCCTGTGCAAAGCTTGATTATTTTTTATTTTGTTGCTGCGATTTTTTTGAAGCTAGGCATTCTGAAAAGGGGTTGCTATGGATGCTAGGGTATTGTGATTCAGTTACTAGGCTGTTCTGAAAGCTTGCTTAAGCATTGCCAGATGCTTGCTAGGGGATTCTGGGGGGTTGCTATTCAGTTTTTAGGGCATTCAGATACATGGTGCTGTGTGGGTGCTAGAGTGTTCTGGGTTGTTGCTAGGGTGTTGTTTTAGGCCATTCAGAGATGGAGTTGCTATTTGGTTCTAGGGTGATGGAGTTTCTAGGCTGTTCTTTGAGCTTATAGGTGCTCTAGTGGTTACTAGGGTGTTGCAAGGCACCTTCTAGAGTATTATGGGTGGTTGTTAGGTAGTTGGTAGAGTGTTGTTTACTGGTCAAAAAAACAGTTGAGTCCCAAATTATGACACACTATGCACTTATACTATGCACTCTACATGTAGTGTATGAATTTTATAAGCTTATTTTGTCGTCCAGCATCATCAATAGGGATTTTGCGACTGTTGAGAACAAGAAGTGTCCAACATTCCACACTTTATTTATTTTTTTCACATCATCTGGGTATTTGAATTGCACATTTTCTTGTTGGAATTCACACTAAGTTTCTAAGATATAGTAATCTCCCATTCTCTACCCTAGTGTAGGTCTTTTTTTGTTTTGTTTTGTTTTGTTTTATGGTCCACCTTTAAAAAATTATTGTAAGTCGGATTGCTTAAAAAAGTACCAGCACACATTTAATCAAAAAGCCTCACAATTTTGAGCTGTTACTCATGTCCATAGCACAAGTAGTTTAATTATTAGAGTATTGAATTTCTTTGAATATAATACTAAAATTGATGGTTGCGCAAAGTAAGCAAATAAGCAATACTAAACAGGACTACATGATGCTCATGAGAGGCAATCCCCTCTGTCATTTATGAAAGGTTTCCCATATTAACACAATGTGAACATGATATCCAATATGCAGACAGTTTTAAAACAAGCTGAATGCTATATTTGGCATGGGTGAAAAGCGATAAGCCTGCTATCTGCTGACCCAGTTACACTCTGATTCAGGGGTTGACAGCTGATTCAGCCAAATGTCAAAAGTGTTTTTTTGTTTTTAGAGAGAGAAAGAGAGAGAGAGAGAGGTGGTGGATATATAGTGGAATAGGGTGTTTTCTCTGTCCGTAATTGGACAGAAAGTGTTTTACTGCCTGTCACAAAACATGGTTGAAATGGTTTTACATGGATACTTTGATGGAGTAACATAGTTATGTGGTGAAACATGCATGGAATAAAAAGAACAAGAGAAAAAAAATCTCTCCTAAGCTGATAAAGCAATTTGAAGAAAAGCTTGAGAACAAGGTGTCCATTGATAAGGCTTGATCTAATAAAAACGCATGCAGACTTGGCATGTGATTTGTTTTGCAGTGGCTCTCTGACTTAAAAACTCTATCAAGTAATACAAATATCTCCAATACCACACCGCCTGCAGTTTCTTTGTCTTCTAACAGCTGCTTATGACTGTGCATTGTAAATTCTACCACCCTCTTGTCTGCATAAAAGTTATGCACACAATCCCGCAGCGGTGTTTCCAGTGCCAGTGCAGAGAGGCATATCGCAGTTATGAAAACAGCTGTTGACTGAAAAGTGCCTGTTTTCAGTTTACCTAACGTCTACCTTGCGTTTACCTAATGTCTGCTGTCTATATAAGGGCCGGCACTGTGGCAAGCTGAGGGAGACTGCCTCAGCTTTTGAAGCAAGGAGGGGTATCAGAATAGGGTTCCAAGGGTCCTTCAGATAAGCTGGCACTGCTGCTGAGATTTCTCAGCTCATTTGTCTTGTTTTATTGCAGTCTGGGCTATACAAAAGATGTGGTGGGCCTGAATATTTAAACAAATGAGGGTTCAAGCAGGTGCATACAGCAGACAGTGTAATGAAAAGAATAGGAAAATTATGCTTTAATTGTCATGAATACACAAGATATGGCAATGCCTTGGATTCTTTTCTGTGTTTATGAATATTATTGGTTAAAAGATAAAAAAGCCTAAGCTAAAGAAGGTCTTTGCACACTATTTAATATGATTTGCATGCTACAACATGGTAAACACCAAGGGTTCTGACCATTGTAAGTCTAGTATAATAAGCATAAAGTATAATGTATATTTCAGTTTATAATTGAATACAGTTGAATATACACTCTAAAAAATGCTGGGTTAAATACAACCCAGTGCTGGGTAAAATAGGGACAAACCCAGCGATTGGGTTGTTTTGACCCAGTGGTTGGGTAGTAACCCAACCACTGGGTCAAACTTTCTGGGTAGTAACCCAGAAGGTTGGGTTAAACATTTAACCCAACCGCTGGGTCAAAACAACCCAATTGCTGGGTTTGTCCCTATTTTACCCAGCACTGGGTTGTATTTAACCCAGCATTTTTTTAGAGTGTACAGTTGTATAACAATATACAATTGAATATACAGTTGTATAATTCAATTTATAACTGAATAAAGTCAAAAGCTGAATTGAAAGATTAACATAAATTTTAGATTGTCTTAAATATTTGTGTTTTTTTGTCGCATTCTATATTTCGCTTTTTTTTTAAATTACATTAACATTTTTAAATCTCAGATTTTCAATGTGTTCTCTGCATTTTGTACCCTACTGATTTTGAAGAACTGACATTTAAACCGTCCTTAACAAAAATTGAATGGGCTACATTTAATAAATTGTTTATTCTCTATTACATTAATTAATATTACATTAAAAGATGAAGAACCTAAATCAGTTCAACATCAGCGTAAAAATCAGCGTAAAAAAAGATGAAGTCCCAAAATGAATACTTCATGTTTGTGCGCTTTACAGGGAGACTGCTGGGAATTCTTCACAGGCCGATTCCCAGTGATGTGATCATTTTGCTATTGGTTATGGCAGCAATAACACCAGAGCAAGCTAACAGTATACTGTCCAGGATTTAACCTGGTGACAGGAATAGTGTGAGAACTCGACTGGACATCGTTTGATTGATTTAGACCGAGTAAACACACACACTGTGATTTTTATGAGGTAAAGTCTGTTCCATTTTTGACTTCACAGCAATGCGTGTGTAAAGGAATAAAACATAGAACTGGCCAAATTGTAAGGCAAACAAAAGCAATATATAATGTGCAATATATTATTGGCATATATGATCTGATATCTTGAGAGGTGTCATTATAAATGGAGGTCAGACACTTGTTAAATAAGGGTCATTGCTAAGA